TCGAGTGAGCACTCGGCATCTCCAGCCACTTTTTCTTGCTGCTGCTTGATTAATCTGTTGCCCTGTTCATCTGCAGTGCTTTGCGGCTGGAGTCTCGGTCCACAAAATCCACATGGGGATGGTTTGGCGCTTGGCCAAGTCGAAATCAGGTGACGGGTCACTCATCAGACACATTCCAGTGCGAACGTTTTTTGGTGAATCTTGGAGAGCCGAGCTAGAGTGGGGCTGCCTCCACGTGGTGCTCTCGAGCTGGTATTTGCGACACTTTGCACGGCCAAAGCCCAGTTTGGTGGAGCACTGAGTGCAAATTTAATGGCAGGTGTAGTTTCATGGCAGGTGGAAGGGTTGTGCCAATTTTGTGGCAGGCGCGGCATTGAGTGAAGTTGTGGATAAGACCTGTTGGCAGGCCACAAGTTTAGGTACTTGGATTGCTTTGGTGTGGTTTAGCCCCCTGAAGGAACCCTATGAACAACTCATCAGGCCAAGAGTCAAAATACCAACCTAAGAAAAACAGCAGGACAAACAAAGAAGCAAACAAAACAAACAAGTACACACATAAAACACACAATCCAAGGAGAGATACTTCCAGAACACAAATTAGGGTAGGTCTTGGGACCTTTTTAAAGGTCCGCAACCAGGGCACAGGGGACACGAGGACCCAGGGAGCAGGATGGCCACCAAACGAAGCAGAAGCGCAGGTGGTCCTTTTTTCGATGTACTTTGTTTGTTTATTGATGCCCATCCTCTTTTAAGGTGATGCAGAAGGCTCTTCCAATCAACCACCGTTGAGATATGTTGGGATCTCATGACACTTGAGGGGACCCCCGTCCCCCCGAGAGATTCAGCGACTGCTTGTGGCCAAGCAGGTCCTCGCGCAAGATCTCCTTCTGCTCAGAAAACTCCGAGGCCCGTGCTTGGGCAACAGACCTTCAGCTACGCTCTTCGCAGAAAGGAAGAGAAACACAGTTTTTTCTTTAAATTCTAATTAGATTCTAATTAAACTCAAATACTATCTATATTGTTTATAATAGCTTCTTGTTCCTAGTAGTAAGGCCAGGAGCCCCTAGTAGCGTCCTTGCTCCTAGTAGCGATGCCCTTTGCTCCTAGTAGCGAACATTGCTCCTAGTTGGGTGGTTTTCATCAAAGGTTCTGTGCAGTTGATAGGGCCACGGCTCCGCAGCCGCAGCTCTCTCTAACTGCAAGTAGGCAGCAGCGACCTAGCATGAGATCATCATGACAAACGAGTCAAACAAACTAGGGTGTCTAAATCTGACTAGCAGTCTAGAGTCTACTAGAGCCTTTAGCGAACATTCCTGCTTCACACTCTTCAGAATGTGAAGTGGAGGTCAACCAATTAAAGAAATACAATCCACTTGAACTGCCTCCTACTGCCCCACATGGCCAGCACCTGGCCTGGTCAGAAGCGCCCTGAAGCTGCAGGCCCTGCAGGCCATCCAGCCTAAACATGAAAGGCATTTTGTCGTGGGCGAACTGAAATCTTCAGGCTTCTGATCTTATCCAAATGGGCCAGGTGGCCAGCTGAAAACACCGCTCCTATGCCAAAAGACCCAGGAATATCCTGGACAGAACTGGCTGTGTCGTTTATGCTATGGGCAGGGCGCCCACTGCCTATTTGAGTTGCAGGCAAGACATCTAGCGAGATTCTTGATTATCACGACCCCAAAACTAGCCTGCAACCTGCTAAGCTTAAGTCAGTTCGGGTTTTAGCAGAGACATTCCGATTGATAATCAAGCATATTCAGACTTTTTCCAGATCCAAGATCGTCCCTGCCTATAAGTTACAAGGTACCTCTAGTCTCACACGTTTGGGATTTTCGAGGTATCATGAATCTGGTGTTTTCATTGCCTAATGCAAAAGAAACGTATCAGTATTTGCAGGAACTGGTCTTGACTATATCGCATAACCCACCGTTCCACAACGAAACACTCCCGCTCCCAATTCCTTTGCGCGACGACGCACCGCAATGGCCAAACTGGCCGGAGATCGCTGTGTCAAAACGGGAGAAGTTTACACAACATATTCGTTACTACCTATTCAGAAAAAAAATCGACTTGGTTGCACACCCTGGCCCTAATTAGGTTCTTCGTTACCTGCTAATTCACGATGATCAGTTTTGTGTTTTCGTCTCCTGCCGGAATGCTAGCATCTTGCCTTTCGTATCCTGTTTGCCTTCGTAGCGTACAGAGTTCTTTTCTTTTGGGTCTCACGTTTCTTTCTGTAGTGAGTCTCACTGCAAACATCCACCTTTACCCGCTATACAATATAGCAAGGGGGAGTGTGGAGGCGCGCCTGAACAGACAGTCCGCAAGTTCGTTCATCCAAATGGGCAGAATTCATTACGAATCTTCAGGCTTCTGTGAAATCTTACCCAAATTCTTACAAATACATCAAATACCAAGAATCCAATTGACCCTCATCCATTCGTTTGGCATGTTTGGCTTGCCAAGGCTCTGAGATGTTAGCATTGCCCGCTCTTCAAGTTGGTACTCTTGAGTTCTCAACCTCCATTCAAAGTGCAGTTCAACGCAGTTTTGGCATAACGAAAGCCTAAATTTACTTTCTTGTCTAGGTCTCAGCTTGCTGGTCATTCCGAACTTGACCCTGCAACCTTCACCCCCTCGACTTACTGTGGCTCAAGTTATGCCACCAAATAAACACCGACATGAACTGACCGTCTCTTTGGCTGGCCATATGTGGCCATGTGTGACCAAAACAAACACTGTGAAGTTCAGCTGAGTTGCTGCATTTCCAGGTCCTCAGCCAATGTGGCCGCTTCTTCTTCGCCCAGCTTGGCCTGCAAGAAGTCATTTGATTTTCTATGTCGTATAACCTGCAGCGACGGACGCTGCCGTTTCTCCTGAAGCATCCAATGTTATGCAATATTATGCAAAATACTCTTTCTATGCTCAGGTTATGAATCTCCGATTTGGTGGCATGCATGTCACGACAGCCTCCTCGTACTTGCCCTTCAGCTTTTGGTTACGGGTTCTCAGGGCAGCAATCACGAGCTCAGACCTGATCAATGAGAATTTGGCTCAATTCAGGAACCAAGCTACTTGCGGCGACGGTCGTGGGATAGATCCAGCGCTTTTTTGCTAATTATATAATGACAATTATATATATATATGTCAGAATCGGTACCCATCCACTAGCAGCGCCTTTGCGCAGCATCTGCATCATCCACTGATTGCTGCTGCAGTTGCAACATTTCCTCCTGTAGGTGTTGCACATCGATGGAAGCCACAAACTAGCATGGCTCAAAACAGTCATCTGCATTTCCTCTTGGAGCGCTGCCTTTCATGGCCCACCCATTACATATAGATTTTTTTCATATATCTATATGTAATAACCCATTTCCCATCCACTCGTTTCCAAAGAATATATGCAACTGAACAAGTGCATCCACTATTTCAATCAGTGGCACGTCTACGATCAGCTAAAATGCAAAGTGAGCAAGGCAAGGATCTCCAGTGACCTTCGGAAACAACAATACCACACATGATGTGTATACTAGAAGGTTATCAAAGGACAATCCCCAAGCACCAAACGATCTCGAATTCAATCTTCCGTAGGCCACCTGACACGATGAGCCGCATATGCTGAGGGCGCCTTGATGGTAAGCAAGTCCGTGCGCAAAGTCACAGCCAGAGCTGCCTGCGCGGTGTGGATTGCTCCACTGCAGCACTGACAAATCCAAAATTCCTCAAGTCCTTGGGTTATCCCACATCTGGTGAAAGCGGTTTTTAGGATATGTATGTTGATTGATGAATTTGTTACAATATGTAGTTATATATATGTGTATGTACAGTATATATTACGCTTCATTTGCGACCTCCTCTTGAAGCTGTGCCAGCTGGGCATTCTCCGCATGAGCTTGAATAGAGCGCAGGCCTTATGAGCGGAGAGGTTTGGGGCTCAAGGGCGGCTCAGGCTGGGAAGTTGTGGGTTGGGGCCGGCGTGGGTGGATTAGTAGCAAGAAGCTACTAGTAACACCGGCATCGCTACTAGTAACAAGGGCATTACTACTACTACTACGACGACGACTGCTACTGCTACTGCTACTGCTACTGCTACTCCTACTCCTACTACTACTACTACTACTACTACTACTACTACTACTACTACTACT